ATAATATTTCTTGGCACACACTAAGTCCTGTGTAGCTCGTTATTAACATACAAATTAGGACACTCTTCCTCCTGACCTGTCATTGGGTTTCTCTATCCTCTTGATCTCTGAGAGGGATTTTGATGCAGCTTTAATGCTTAAAGTCCATGCTTCTTTCAACAAGTAGATCTGACTTTTCCCATTTCCTCCTGACCTCTACTTTTCTAGAAAAAAACACATTTGAGGGACTGGATATACTCCATCTTCTCCTGAAATCCTTTGCCATGGCCTCTCCACAGGATGTCTTTTCCTGCTTTTTACTTCTTCTTATATCGCTACTCACTTTTCCTCTTGAATAAAATGCCATTTTCACCATGTGCCGATAGCTCGTGACTGTAATCCTACTTAGGAGGCTAATATCTGAGGATCCCTGTTTGAAGTCAGGTTAGCAGGAAAGTCCAGTAGATTCTTATCACCAATTAACCAACAAAAGAGCCAAATATGAAACTATGGCTAAAGTTGTAGAATGCCAGCCTTGAGTTCAAGCTGTAGTACTGGCACACATACACACAGTCATACACACACACACACACACACACACACACACACAAACACATATGAACAGAAAGTGTTAGTTTCATCTGATCATTGCTTTATTATTTTTCAAGGCAAACAGCACATATTTTCTCTCTGTAAATTCCCCTGGAATACACCTGGCCCTCAAAAATATCTTAATTCCTCTCTACATGGCGCTTTCTTATTAGATATTATATTTTGTCCTATTTATATATGTCTTTCTTTAGAAAGTAGAAATACTCTGAAGGTAGGGACATTTGTCTAAATCATGTCTGAGTATCTGTTAGCAAAACTTAATATTTGAAAAAGTAATATAGAGATTGGATTTTAAAAATAAATTTTAATGTTCTCTGCCTACATTTTTATAGCAGAATATATGAAATCTATAATCCTCAAAAAACATACTTTAATGTCAATTTGTTACCAGCTCTCTTTGGCCTATTCTATGTTTGTTCTAACTTCATTATGCATGTGATTGATCTATATTTCTATCATCTGAGAAGGAGGGACTACTGAATTTAGGTTCACAAGTTTTCTCAGAGGGTAAGCTATAACTTTCTATGGCTTTACCTTAGCCTTCTTATTTTTATTTTTTATTTTATTTATTTTTTATTGTGAAAATACCGTATAGAGGGGTTACAATTACATGGGCAAGATAATGAGCACATTTCTTATCAAGTATTGCTGCCTTCTCCTTTGTTTCCCCTTACCATCCCTTCCCAGCTCCCAGCCCCCCCACGCGGCACCTCCCCTTCCCGGCCAAAGTTGTAAGTTTGTTTTTCGGCATAATGACTTGTACATCTCATTGTTGCAATGAGTCCACCTGTATCCCTATTTAAACGATTTGTTTTTTCCCTTCCCCTCCACAAATTATACCAACATCAAATACAGTGAAAGCAGGGGTTATACCATACTAAAGCTAGCAGCACAACTATGTTTGTTGCAGCATTATTTACCATAGCTAAGATATGGAGCCAACCCAGATACCCCTCATTAAATGAATGGATCAAGAAAACGTGGCATATACACACAATGGAATTCTATATTTCCATCAGAATGACATTGCCCCATTTGTTAGGAAATGGAAAGACTTGGAAAAAATTATATTAAGTGAAGTAAGCCAGGCCCAAAGAAACATAGGTCCCATGGTTTCCCTTATTTGCAATAACTAGTATATGTCTGAAACAAGCAAAAAAGGTCAGATAAGTTGATGTTGATTGAAATGAACCCCAAGTTAAGTTTTCAAATGTTTTTTTTCTTTCATGCAATTGTTTCTAATTTATAAGATGATTTCTTTATTTTGATTTTGAATTAGGATCTTTGCCTAGATTCAGAATATTTGTACTTCCTCTTCCCAAGTAGATTCAATTACAGACATGAGCGACCGTATTTGGCAGTAGATATTTATTGTTGTAAGTAGTGTTTGTGTGTGTGTATGTGTGTGTGTGTGTGTGTGTGTGTGAGCTTGTGCAATTCCTCCAAAAAGTTGCCTCATTGTGAGTTTCCGTAGCACTCAGATCAAAGTCTGTGTTTTGTTTTCCAGACAACTATCAAACAATCAGGGGACATTTGCCACAGTTCTAAGTACAAGCTCAATTCAGCCACATTAGAAATGAGGTGAGAAACTCTGGTGGCTGGCTCTTAGTCTCCCAAACATTCCCAAGACAATATTTTATATCTCTTTGATGTGTAATAGTAATGCATTTCTGAGCTCTGGGGAGAAAGCTCTGTCTCATCCTAAAGTCAAAAGAGCATTATTTGTGATTACTGGCTATTCCCTTATACATCTGGGGAAAAAATTGGCCTAGAATGTACAGTACACTGAAAAATCATTGAATGTGCTCAATTGCCATCACTTGGCTTTGATGTATTATTTTATATCACCACTCCTTATGTCCCTCAGGGTTTCCATGTTGGCTCATGCCCCGGGCCAAGATCATCTTGCAAACATGCAAGACTCATCCATGTGAAAATTCTGAAGAATTGTATTTTATATTAAGGGACATATATACTCATGTTGAAAAATATGTTTTCCTTCAGATGTAGCCATTTGAATTCACCATAGCATAGATTAATCTTTGGGATTGAGTGGATTTCTGCTGTGTGTGGCTGCAAGAGAGAGGAAAGACACAGGTAGAGCAGTTTTCATTTGTTCACAAAATGACACAGTCTTAAAAATGAACTCCAAACTCCTATACAGTTGTGAATGGTAGAGGGTAACATTGTATGCATCAGTCAGAAAGTGATCTTTAGACAGTATCTTTATATTCCTGTCAATGTTAGAGAAAAGTCTTCTAAAGAGAAAAATTTCTGCCAGGCCCAGTGACTCAAGGCTATAATCCTAGATCTGTGGAGACCAAGATGGGGGATTGTATTTTAAGAGGAGCCCTAGGAAAAAGGACATTGGGAGACTATATCTCAAATCATGGCTGGGTAAGTTGTAGACTGCCTCTTCTCCCAGCTACAAAAGGAAGGAGAGCAGCTAGCCGCAGTGATGCATCCTTGTCACCTGTTATACCCAGTGACAAGGCAAAGTAGAAGGAGGAGGATCACAACCCAGGCCAACCCAACTCAAGCACAATGTAAGACCTTACTTTAAAATAACAATATAAAAGGTGGTTAGGAATTTGGTTCAAGGGGTAGAGGGTCTGCCTACCATACATGAGGCCCTGATTTCAAGTTCTGCTACCACCCCCAAAAAATAACAAAGAAAGAAGGAAAAGGAAGGAGAGAGAGAAAGAGAGGGGGGGAGGGAGAATCAGCAGTCCTCTAGGAAAGTTTTATTCCAAGCATAAGCTGAATATTATTTGCATTTTTCTGGATATTGCACCCCTTAAATACTAGCTACATATGTATCTCCATGTGTTTCTTCACTCAGTACAGATCAATAAATAACTAATTAAATTATCATTTGTAAGTTAATCATTATTCCTGGTGACTTTGGTTTAGAGAGAGCAAGAAATTATATTCTATGTGAAATTTTTGTCTTGTATCTGTGACCAGTGGGCATACTAAACATACTCTTGTTTGGGCTCTGTGAGAGCACATCTACAATGCCAGCTCTTTGGGAGACAGAGGTAGGAGGATTGTAACCTGAGTATAGCTCCAATAAAAATGTGAGTCCATATCCAAAAAAATAATTTAAAATATATAAATAGCTGGCAACAAGATTCACTTGGTAGAGAACTTGCTTTGCAAATGTCAGGCTCTGAGTTCAAATCCCAGTATTGCAAAACCAACAAATTACACTCCTTAGGGAGAAGACACTTAACCCATGTGAATATCTTAACACCACAGTGCTTCCAGAGTGATAAGATGCACATACTTCTCCAGTAATTACCAAGATGTTGGCTTAAAGCCATGCAGGACAAGTTCAGAAAGCTTCACAGTCTGTTTGCATAGTCTCCAAACATGGGTGAAGACGAAACCTTGACTTAGTAATCAAATATTTTAGACCTTTAATTAGACTCCTGGGCAATTTGGTTAATAGATAATTCATTTGTGTTCTGTCCTTTTTTCCTCATAATTGCTTTGTGTGTGTGTGTGTGTGTGTGTGTGTGTGTGTACATGTTGACAACCAGAAAAGACACATTAGTGGAGCCAAGAGTAAATATGACACAGGAAGTTCTTCAGTCTAAAACTTATAATCAGAAAGTGGATTGGTGCTTGTTGCTCAGGTGACAAGGCCTGGACCAATGACAATGGTATGGGAGGGGCTTGGTTTTTCTTCTATTTGTAGTGGTGAACATGTCCTAAAATTGAATATAGTAATGTACAACTTTAAATACACTTAGATTTTAAAGGGCTGAGTTGTGTGTAATATAAATTATGTCCACATAGTCTAAAGCTACTATTTCCTACATTTACACTGTAAAGCAGTTAAATCGAACATCCCTTGTTGTCCAATGCCTTACATTTGATGCCTTCCTGACTCACCAAGCATCTGTGTGAATTTTCTTTTTCTTTTCCTTTTTTTTTTTTTTGTCAGTCGTGGGGCTTGAACTCTGGGATTGGTTGCTGTCTCTGTGCTCTCCAGCTCAAGACGAGCACTCTACCACTTGAGCCACAGTACCACTTCTGGTATTCTAGTGGTTTTTATTGGAGATAAGAGTCTCATGGACTTTCCTGCCCGTGCTGGCTTTGAACCACTATGCTCATATTTCAGCCTCCTGAGTAGCTAGGATTACAGGCGTGAGCCACTGGCACCCGGCTTGTATGAATTTTCTTACATAGACCCCAGTATCTGAATGTGTACTTTATTCCAAATACATCCTTTTCATCTCTGTTCCTATGTGAAGTGATATTTCCAATCTCCAGTTTACATGTTCTCTAGCTCCAAAATGGTATTTACCATGTTTTACTGTTATTAGATCCTAAAATTCTAACCTATGGACTAAGCATCTTTTTCCCCTCTCTTTCTCTCTCTCGGCTTCGTGTTTCTAAAGACAAAGACAGGGGTTTGCTTGCTACAGGATGGTAATCAGGAACCGTTCAAAGTCCGGCTGCACCTAGCCAGAGATCTTCTGATTCTTCAGGAGCAGGATGTGATATGCGTGTCTGGTGAGCCTTTCTATTCTGGTGTAAGTAGCTCTTCCTTCTGTTTGTTTTTGTCTGTTGCTAATGACAATGCTTATTCCCAGCCAGGCTATGGTGGTTTATGTCTTTAGCCCTAGCTACTCAGGAGGCTGAAATATTAGAATCACAGTTCAAAACATCCTAGGCAACAAAGTCTATGAGACTCTTATCTCCAGTTAATCAGGAAAAGGCAGGAAGTGGAGCTGTGGCTCAGTGGTAAAATATCATCGGCTTTGAGTTTAAAAATAAAACAGTCAGGAAACATGGTCCAGAGTTCGAGCTTTGTTAGCAGTGCACACACGTGCATGATTACACAAACACACACACACACACACACACACACACACACACACACACACCCCGATGCTTATTTCCAGAAAACTGAAAAGGTATTTTTTCATTCATTTTATCACATTGCTAAGTTAGCTGGATATTCTTGTGAGGACCTTTCTGGGTCAAAGCATAATCTTTACAGCCTTTTGTCCCTTGGTGTCTACTGAGTCCTCTCTCTGTATTTTATAATCGTAATGTAGTGCACCTTGACTTCTCCACAGCGCCAAAAGGAACTGTGCATGGTGGGGCCCTTAGGTCTAGTCCTATCTTGCACCAGCTTGAACTATTAGTGGAAATGCTAAGACAGAGCCCATGTCCCAATGTGAGCAAGACAGGAGGCTTTAGGTCCTGGTTGCTAAACTCAGATGATGCTTTCTCCGGAGGTTAGCCCTGAGGTGTGATAGAATGGTCTTTGTGTGCTTAGCAATTCTTTAGCTGTATAAATGATATATCTTGATGCTGTTAATCATCAAATCATCTTCCAAAAGCAATTGGTGTGCTTGATGGTACCAAATCACAACAGTGGAAGAAAGTCCTTAAAGAATGGATTTTATTTGGTGAGAGGATGTAGAACAACACAGGGCAAGTTCTAGAGTATCATTCATGTTGTCATACCATTAAAAAGACCATTGTAACAGAATAGACAAAATGTGATCTCCGGAGAAAATGGCAAGAAGTATCCACCTCTCTGCTCCATGGTTTCCCAGAAAACTGCAACTACTTAGCATGAAGATTTAATTTGCGCCTTCCTAACAGACTTCCTGGGAGAGTTTGGCTGGTGTTGAATAATGCTGAACTGGAGTTTTCACATCACTACTTACTAACACCTTATGGGAGTCACACAAGGTCCTAAATCAATAGGCCTTTGCTAACAAAAGGTAATGGACATTTTGCAGACTGTTAACTATTCTGTTGTCACAGACCATTTAAATCATTCTGAATCATGGACTTAAATGTCAGGGCTGATTAAACTTTTCCCATGGGGTTGTCCTTTTTTTCCCCTTGCTAAATAACACAAAGATGGTCTATTTCTTCTTTTCTTTTCTTTTCCTTTTTTTCAGGGAAGAGAAATGAGTCACAGAATATTCTGGAATGAATATATCATATTTTTAAATTAATTTAATTTTATTGTAAAGGTGATGAACAGAGGGGTTACAGTTACATAAATAAGGTAATGAGTACTTTTCTTGTTGAACATTTCTTGTTACCCTCTCCCTTGTTTTCTCCCATTTTTCCCTCATCCCCCGATTCCTCTCCTCACCAAGTTGTTGTAAAGTTCATGTCTAAGATAGTGTCTTGTGAATATTGCTGTTCACCCTTTGTCCTTTTTCTCACCATTTTGTGATTCCTCTTTCCTTCACCAAATCAGATAAACATATATACAAAAAAACAAACAAACAAACAAAAATCAGTGACAGCAGGGGATTAACCAAAGGGGAAAAATGAAAGAAAAAAGAAAGAACTTCACACAGTACATTAAAATCAAAACAAAAAATCTTATTTGTGTATATTGGAGTTCATTTCGGTTATTGTCATTTCACATAGTAATATGTACATTGTTAATGAGCTATTGTGATCCTCAACTAGGACTATCCTAGATATATACTAAACCACATTGATATTCTACCTCACCCCAGTTAGAATTGTCATTATCAAGACAACAAATAATGGTAGACACTGGCAGGGATGTGGTCAAAAAGGAACAGTACTGCATTCTTGGTAGGAATGTAAACTGGTTCACCCACTCTGAAAATCAGTGTCGAAGTTCCTCAAAGACTAAACACAGAGCTCCCCTATGTCCCAGCAATTTTACTCCTCGTGATCCAACTGATCACAAACAAGGCCACACTAAAGCTACAAGCACAACTATGTTCATTGCAGCATTATTTACCATAGCTAAGATATGAAACCAACCCAGATGCCCTCAATAGATGAATGAATGAAGAAAATGTGGTATATATACACAGTGGAATTCAATGCTTCTATCAGAAAGAATGACATCACCCCACTTGTAAGGAAATGGAAAGACTTGGGAAAAAATCATGTTAAGTGAAGTAAGCCAGACCTTAAGAAAGATAGGCTCCATGGTTTCCCTCATTCATGATAATTGGAATGCATATTTTAGTAACCAAGTCCTAGATCAGCAGTGTAAAACTGATGAAATTCAGGATTTAACAATAATGGTTGGTTTTCAAATTTTCAGTTAACACAGGGACCTTCTCTCTTCTCTCAAAGAAAGTATTATGTGTGTAAATGAGGCTTAGTATGTTCAGAAGAGCTGCACATTATGGAGAAACTTAGCATGGTAAGTCAAAAGAGGCAAAAATATATAACAAAAAGCACCAAGTGCTTGTAACAGCACTTTCAGCAACTATAAATAAAGTTTAGCTGATGATGAGTATGCAAGGAATGATTCCCACTGACTGTAGTACTCACTGAACATTCTCTCTGCAGTTGGAACAAGCTGCAGGTATTCATGTGCCTCCCTGGATATCACAGCTGACACAATATGTCAGGAAATTGATACAAATAACATAATTGTAAAGGAAGAGGTTTTCATCAATTTCATTATTTCAGACAGAGAAAAATGCTAAGAAATCCACAAAATGTAGAAAAAACACATTTAGAAAGGTTGCTGGAAATAAGAACAACATACCAAATTAAATATATTCCCATTAAAAAACTACAAGCTATGAAAAAGTATAACAAAAAAGAAATTATACCAGGTGCTGGTGGCTTATGTCTGTATTTCAAGCTGAGACTTGAGAATCTTGGCTCAGGGCCAGATGGAGCAGAGAAATCCTTGAGACTCTTCTATCCAATTAACCACTAAAAAGCCAGAACTGGAGGCATGACTTAAGTGGTAGAGTGCTAGACATGAGGAAAAAAAGCCAAGTGAGACTATAAGACCCTGAGTTCAAGACCCAATACTGCAAAGAAAAAGAAAAAAAGGAAAAAGAAAAATATTTTACAATATATCAAGATGTGTTAGGAATAAGTTTATTTAGGAATAATATTTTGGGGGGAATAAATTTAATAAAGAATATATATGCTACATTGCCTGAATACTGCAAAGACACTGGTGATAAAAATAAAATAAACAATTTAAATGGATAAATACAACATGTTCATGAATTAAAGATTAAATATTAGTAAAATAATACTTTCCCAGATACTCCTAACTAGTCAAAACTTCAATGAGTTTTATGGCTATATCCAAAATAGATTTTAAATTTTCCTTGAAAATATGAAAATTCAATATTGTTAAAATCATCTTGAATAAAGAGAAATGACTGTAGCATTTATACTTCCTGATTTCAGAACTCACTGTAAAATTCCAATGATAACTGCAATGTGATATTGTCATAAATGAAGATGTATAGATCTGTACAAAGTTCTGCATAGTTAAGAGATAGAACTGTTCTTACCTGGCCAACAGAATTCCTTTATTATGATAAGGTACATGTAACATAAAATTTACTATTTTTACCATTTGAGTGCAGATTGGTTGCAGAATATAGTCATGTTGTAGTGTAGCCAGCACCAGTATCTCTGTCAAGACTTTTAATCTAACTTACTATGAAACATTGTGCTTATAAACCAATAGTTCCCTTCTTCTCCTACCTCTAAGATCCTGGTTACCACTTACACACTTTGTTTTATGCAATGAAGCCACACAGCATTTGGCCTTTATATCTTGCTTATTTGACTTACAGGAATGTCTTCAAGATAAACAAATATTGAAGAAAAGATCAGAATTCTATTTTTTGAAATAGAAAATATACCTCCCTCATTTTTCCCACTTTCCCTCCCCTAAGTCTTACCAATTGTATATACAATACCCATGCAGTGACAAGGGATAAACCATAGGGGAAAATGCAAAAGAAACAAGTAATCACATAGTACATTAAAAACAACAACAAAGAAAAACATCTTGTGTCCATGTCTTGAAGTTTATTTCAATTAGCATCATCTTATATGGTCATATGTACATAGCTATTGAGTGATTCAGTTCATCTGTTAGGATTATCCTAGACATATGCTAATTATTACAAATGAGGGAAACCATGGGTACCTATGTTTCTTTGGGTCTGGCTTACTTCACTTAATATGAGTTTTCAAAGTCTTTCCATTACCTTACAAATGGGGTGGTACCATTCTTTCTGATGGAAGCATAGAATTACTATATATATATATATTATATATACTATATATATAGTATATATATAATATATATAATATATATAGTAATTCTATATATATAGATGGAAGCATAGAATTACTACATATATATATATATATATGTATATAATTTTCTTGATCAATTCATCTACTGAGGGGCATCTGGGTTGGTTCCATATCTTATCTATGATAAATAATGCTACTGCTACAATGAGCATGGTTGTGCTGGTAGCTTTAGTATGGCCTTATTTGTGGTCATTTGGGTAAAGGCCCAGAAGTGGGATTGCTGGGTCATAAGGAGCTCTATGTTTAGCCTTTTGAGGAAACTCTATACTGTTTTCCAAAGACCTTGAAGTAAAAGCAGACACCTTGGAAACATTACAGGAAGGAGTAATAGAAACTCTAAGGCTCCTTGGCACGGGGAGTAATTTTCTCATTAAAGACCCAGAAACACAAAACTCAAAGAAAGGTTGAACAAATGGGATTGAAT